GTTATTACAACAGATAAATGCGATAAGAAATAACTCTTATCAGTCAAATCAGAATATTAAAACGAAATACTAAAATGAAACTCTAGTTCAGCTACACTTTTCCAAATATTTAGTGCAATATTGCGTGAACTTATAATTAAATAAATATATTAATAATAAGCTTAAGCAAAACAAAGCAGATATTTATTGCATAAATTTCTAATTTATTATCTTGTCAAGAATAAATTACATCTGAATTATTTTATCAGTTATACTATCATATAAACGCGAATGGGACAATAAATTTTTACAGTACTGTATTGCTTTCTATTAGCGCCAGTGAGGAGTCTCCTTTTTCTATTTCAACGCGAGTTTCTTATTTCAAGTTAATTTAAAAATCGAAGTAAACGAAAGATGGACAAAATACTTTCCACCTTACCGAATTATTCCTGCGTAAAGCGTTTTATTGAGTGGCATTTGTAATCTCGACTTTTCGATACGGAAAAGGTATCTCTAAATAGGTGTATCTCAGTGTATGCTGAAACGAACGGATGCTATAACGAAGGAGATTCTAGAAGCAATTAGTTCGTTCTAGCATGCCCCGCTGTATTCTCACCCCTGTACAGTATTCTCGTCGAGAAATTCAGTAATTTATGAAATAATTGAATCTCGAACCGCTCTACAGCTGTACATTTCCCGAACAACTTTCGGAAACTACTAGTTCTATTTCCCAATTCACAAAACGTCAAATATCCGCTATTTCTATGATTTTCAATAACGTTAACAAAATTATATGTTGCTCCTCGTACCCTGTCCTCACTCAGCACTTGGTGAAATTTTACCTTGCAACCGTATTTTTTAAAGTAAATTAAAAAATGTCTATTACCGATAAGATAAATAATATAAAATATCTTGCGTCAATACATACGATCTTCTATGGATTCGATGAGATTGTGATCGTTACACTTCGCAGTTTTTGCGTATACTTTTATGTCACCAATGTATAAATCAGTTTATAATGATTTAAAAATTAAGTTAGAGTTCCACAGGGTGTCCCAAAATTGTGTTACTTCCGGGAAATGAGGGGTTTCTTGGGTCATTTGAAATAACTTTTCCCTTAGCGAAAATGCAATCCGCGGCTTTGTTTACGAGATATTAACAAAAAATAGTGACCAATGAGACACGAGATCAGCTGACGCGAGGCGGCCAAGCCAATGAGCGGAACTGGGCTTCGACCGACAAACCTCGCCTCTCATTGGTCACTGTTTTTGGTTAACAACTCGCAAACAAAGCCGCGGATTACATTTTCGCTAAGGAAAAAGTTACTTCAAATGACCTCAAGAATCCCTCATTTTCCGAAAGTAACATAATTCTGGGACACCCTGTATAATAGGCTTGGAATTCATCAGTATGAACTTTGAAAAAGTTTTAAATCGATCGCCGGTTGAATTATAAGAAAAAATTATTCAGAACGAGGTCATCGGTGAGTTGTTTTCTGAATTTAATAATTGCTATCATTTATTAATCTGAAGGATGCCAAATCGATCAAAAATTTACTATAGTAATTACTCAGGGTAGTACGTATATGTATTATAACTTGTTCTATAGGTGATGTGTCAAAATAAAGAGATAACCGGGATATAAATAGAGAATTCTTTACCCAACCACGACCAACATATACTTCGAACGACTTCTTTGAGAAAATCGTGCTTTATCAAGACGCGATCACGTTGCCATCTTAAAGATAAAAATCAGCCACGCTAAACTTGCTTATCAGTAACTGCTGAACCCATTTGTATCATTCGTGTATGAAGACATTTAATATTTTTGGACTGGAATAACTTTATCGAAAGAAGCTCGAAAACGTTGGGTGTAAACGTTCTACTGCAAAGTAGATTTATTTACTATCCACTTCAAAAGATCTTTATGTGCTTATGTCATGAGCAGATTCTTCAAATGCAAGAAAACGTAAAAATACTTTGATTTCTCTTTTTACATTGATTGACCTTTTATGGTTTAGAAAAGAAAATGTTCTATAATTTAAATTTTTGTAAAATGATGTATCAAAATGAGAATATGTATGTAATACAAATAAATTAAGAAACAAGAACCCTAGTTTTATATATATATATATATGTATATTTAAAACGGAATACCTCATGTTATTACATTTTTGTTATATTGATTATTTACCTAGAACTGATCAGAGTGACTGGAGCACAGTAATCAGTGTACAGAAATTGATACACAGCAATTAACTTTTTTATCTTCTTAAGGGCAAATTAACTCGCTCAAAAACTAGTATATTTGTATATTTCGTTAAATATCTTGTATTGTTTATGTATCTCACTTACGAAAAAATTCGAACTTATATAAAAGGACATCAACATATACAGGATGTTCAGAAAATCGTGGTACAATCGGCAAAGGAATGATTTTCCACATAAAACTAAACCGAAACTATACAATAAAATTTTTTAATACAGGGCTTCATTGTCGAGCAAATCGAGTTTGAAAATTTGTTAGGTACGCGTGCACACAGATACAATGGGGTTTGGCAGGTCGGGCAAACGAACCAAACTGTGTCTACATGCGCGCGTATCCAACGGATTTTCAAACTCGATTTTCTCGACAATGAAGCCTTCTATGAAAAAATTTGATTCTGTATCTCCTCCTCAGTTTTATGTGAAAAATCACTCCCTTGGCGACTGTACCACGATTTCCTAACATTCTGTGCAATTTAAATGTTTCAAGTGTGATATATGTGAAAGAAACTATTTAATTTGTCGAAAACTCCAAACGTCACTCTAATGGGTACAGTAGTTGATACATTTACCATAGTGACACATTAAAATATTAAGATATTTTCTGCTCTCTATGATAACAATAATATTAATGCAACTTTTAAAATTTGTCGCTTGACTTCCATAATAAAAACAGTGTTAAATTAAAACTTTTTTAAAAACGCCCTCATATATTATATAATATATTATGTATATAATATTATATATTATATGTTATATATTATATACATTATATTATACACATATATACAGGGTGGAGCATTTTAAACAGATCACTTGAATAACTCGCTTGTTTTTGAAGATTGGAGAAAATGCATTAGACCAAACTTACTTGGTATCGGGGTTCTCATAATCTGGTATTACCAATTTTTCTGTAGGTGGACGCGTCAAGGAGATATGAAGGTAAATTCTGTTTTTTTTTTAAATAGTACAGTAAGTTTTTTTACTTACATTCTGATAAAGTGTTTCGAGGCGAATACAATGAACTATCATGAAGGTCATTCAAGGTCACCCAAAGTGACACAGAAAAGCAAAGCTAAAATACAGTAAAATGGCAAATAATCACACAGATTGGTTTATAAATCTAATCAAAAAATAATGTCATCTATTTACTCGTGTGCAATTTTTATCGTCATAATGTAAAAGCTAAGATCAAGTCCAATGCAACGACCACAACACTATGACCATATGACATTTAGTACGAAAAGTCCAGAAATATTTACTACATTTCAAATCCTTCGCTGAAATGTATAAACCTCTGAATTTTTCTTCAAATTATTTTCTAAAACAGATAATTTAAAATTACCAATAATGTTTGAGTCTACAGATATGTGTACAATGTGATTGAATGTTTGTTCATCTTTTGTGACCCGTGTCACGTAATACACACACGTGATGCACAAGTATTCGGAAAGTACTCTGAGACAATTTATTTTGTCTTGCAGTTGATTTTAGGTGACCTTGAATGACCTTCGTAATAGTTCATTGTATTCGCCTCAAAACACTCTATCAGAATGTAAGTAAAAAAACTTACTGTTCCATTTTAAAAAAAAACAGAATTGACCTTCATATCTCCTTGACGCCTCCACCTACAGAGAAATTAGTAATACCAGATTATATATGAGCCCCCCGATACCAAGTAAGTTTGGTCTAATGCATTTTCTCCTATCTTCAAAAACAAGCGAGTTATTCAGGTGACCTGTTTAAAATGCCCCATCCTGTATATCTATTTGAACAAGTCCGAACGGTATTTCAATACAGTTGCACGCCATAAAACGATACATTTGTCCAGCTAGAATGCCGATCCGTCTCACTGTGCGTTGGTAGCCATAAGCCCGAACAACAAAGCGTCAGGAAATATAGAGACAGAGAAAGGAAAAGAATGGAAGCAGGGACTTACCTCGCTGCGAGCCAAGCTGTAAATGGAACTAGCACTCTCGAAGGAGCTTCCTTCGGCGGCAGTGGCTGTCGCCGAGGCGGACGCCGCGGCGCTGGATGTCTGCGGCGGCCTCGACCAGGAACTGGTCGTCGCCGAGGTGCCGGTTGTGGTCCCAGTCTCGGTGGAGGTGTTGGCAGTGACGTAGTCCTCGGAGGTCTCGGACAGGTCGGTGTTCGTCCGACCGCCCGAGTCGGTCCTCGCGAGGCTCAAACCGAACTCGCTCGACGATTGCGACTGCGGTTGCGACAACGGCGGACCAGGACTCGGACGACGGAACGCGCTCCTCGGTCTGCCATTGCTCGGAGTGGTGGACGATTCGACGCTGAGAAGTAATTGCCTTTAAAAATCGCTTCGAGTTTAACACGGAGTGTCTCTATCACGGGCCGACTTTCGATGATTTCGCTTACAAGGAGATGTCCCCGGGCGCGACACTCGCTTTTTGACGAGATTTTGCACACTGGTAGAGCTCGTGAATCTAACGTGAATTGAATCTAACGATACCCAGATTTGTTGCAGATAGCTTATTTTTCTTAAGATATTTAATGTTAAAGTTGTTAGTCACAATATCAGAAAGATAATCTGAATTTCGGGCTACGGTACCTCGCGGCAGAGTGGGGAGGCGGGGATGTCAGAGAAGTGCTTACGAACAGTGCAGTCATGAAAATCAACTACGCAAGGAGACGCATGCGCAGGGAGTCTCGCACAACGGCGTGGGGCGTCTATCGGGTGAACATTGCAATTCTGAAGTACGATGGAGAATTGTATCGCTCGGTGGACGCTCCACGCCGCTGTGCGGGACTCTCTGCGCATGTGTCACCTTGTGTAGTTTACTGCACTGCTCACGATTGGTGGAGTAAGGGAGAAGAATCTTTGGGAAGATTCACTAACTCCCAATCCCTACTTACTATTCCCGCACCACTTGTGAGCACTTCTCTGGCATGCCTGAACGTGACGCGCCGCAGTGGCTTTATCTTTTTGGCTTTGCTACTAACAACTTTAACCTTTTAGGCACGGCGCGCCACTATAGTGGTTTTCGCGGATGTCATCTCTCTGGACGACGCGCCACTATAGTGGCTTGCTCTAGTAGCTCATTCGCTCATCGTTTGAATCAAATAATCGTCTTCATATGCATTGTTTCACATTTCTTTTGTCTTCACATCGATTTACAACAGTCTACAGGGTGTCCCAAAAATGTCTCGCAATCCGGAAATGGCGGGTTCCTCGGATCATTTGAAGCAACTTCTTCCTTCACAAACATTTTCTCCGAGGCACCGTTAACGAGTTATTAACGAAAAACAGTGACCAATAAGAATCGAGTACGGCTGACGCGAGGCGGCCCAGCCAACCAGCACGCGAAGCCCAGTTCCGCTCATTGACTCGATCGCCTTGAGCCAGCAGAGCTCGCCTCTCATTAGTCACTGTTTTTCGTTAATAACTCGTTAACGGTGCCTCGGAGAAAATGTTTGTAAATGAAGAAGTTGCTTCAAATGATCCGAGGAACCCGCCATTTCCGGATTGCGAGACATTTTTGGGACACCCTGTATATACAGTATCAGACTCTGTACAGTACATATCAGACTCTGCCGTCCAGAGAAATAGCCTCGCGCAGAATTCAGCCGTACCTAAAAGGTTAACGAAAGACAGTGACGATTGAAAGGCGTGATCGCTGGTGCGAGGCGGCCGAGCTAATGAGCGGTCGAAGTTCAATTCTGCTCATTGGCTCGGCCGCCTCTCGCCAGCCAAGCTCGTCTCGCATTGGTCACTGTTTTTCGTTAATAACTCGTTAATGGTGCCTCAGAGAAAGCTTTTGTAAAGGAAAAAGTTACTTCAAATGGCCTGAGCAACCCGCCACTTTCGGATTGCGAGACATTTTTGGGACACCCTGTATATACAGTATCAGACTCTGTACAGTACACATCAGACTCTGTCGTCCAGAGAAATAGCCTCGCGCAGAATTCAGCCGTACCTAAAAGGTTAACAGTAAATATCTCAGAAACTATAAGTCGTCTGCACCCAAAACCGGGTATCATTAGATTCAGTTTTACGAGCACTACCACTATGTAAAGTCTCACCAGAAAGTGAGTGTCACGTCCGGGGACCTCTCCTAGTTAGCCATGGGTATTTACACTGGTTTTTTGAGATTGTTTCATTGTAAACTTGACTTAGGTGTCAATCAACGAATATGAAAGAATGTTTGCAAAGAATGTAGCATGAGGTATGAGAGACTCCGGTGGATAAATGAATGAAAAGCACGGTGCAAGGAGAGGAGGTGGGACCGACTTCATCCCTCTGCTCCTGTGATTCTAAAGATTTAGTCCTGATACAGTCCGCTAGGTGCCCTCGTAAAATTTTCGTATTACCGCATAGTGGAGAAATGTTGCGAGTTTATGATCAAAGACAATTTTTTTTTATAAAATATTTATATAACAAATTTTCTTATAAAGAATGCCGGCCACCTCGATTTTTTAAATGTTAATACATATTTTTGCCTTGATAATATTTTAGCCTGTGTCGAGATGAATTCAACGATCTACTATATTATAAGCTAAAACCTTGAAACAACGCTAAAATAATTTCAGCCAAAGAATGCGAATTTCCAGAGCACTGTGAATTGTAAAAAACGGGAATAAAATATAAACGTAAATCTTCTTTCGATAATTTTAATAAATTGAACAGAACGTAAAAATATTTTAAAATTCTTCTAATGTCTCTATTTATTCGGTATTTTAGCTTGTCATTTTTACCTTAAATGCATAAAATGCGCAGTTATTACAAAATAGAATGTATTGTGAAATGTGCGAGAACTTCCGTAGCTTTCGTAACTGGCTGTGCAAACTGTGCATGAATAGGTGGTCTCCCCTCAAATATGTGGAATTCGGTAGAAAATGTCCGTCCAGTGATGAAATCTTAACGAGGTATTTCAGGCTATGTGTTTGAAAAATTTGCTTTTCCTTTTTAATTTCTTAATGAACAGAATTTCGAAAATGTAACACCCACATACACCATTTAAAACACAATAGCTTGTTTAAAACTGGACTCAATTAATTGAATTTTTTCTAAACGACAGAGAGACTATAGTCTAATAGGTAATGATTAAAATACACTTTCTCAATTTTGTTATTTGTGTGACGAAACGTTTTTCAACTTTTTCATCCGAGCCTAACAAAAATTTAACCCTTTGCACTCGAAGCTACTTTAACTGTAAATATAAAATCATTTTTCTCACTTATAGTATTTTTATTTTATACGATAAAATGCATTTTATGCATATGAAATTGATTCTTGGGACTCGCGCAATAGTTACACTCTTAACAATTTTCTAAATCTAAACTTTGTTAATATAAAAATTATCTTAGAACGTGATGTAACAAATTTTAGTGGCGCCTCTGAGTCACCACTCGAGTGCAAAGTGTTAAAAAATGCGCTTGGTACATCTCGGCAGATCTTTTTCTCGCAATCTGGAGCGAAAATCTAAAAAATTCATTTCGTAGATCTCGATAACTCATAAGCATATTGAAAATTTCATCAAAATCGGTTAATGCAGAGTCAAGCTACGAGCGTTGAAAGATTTCAGAAACATTCTTGACAGTTATTCTACGAAAGTGTCAATTGCCGATTTTCATGACTCATATCAATATCAACCGATTTCGATGAAATTTCCAATAGGCTTGTAAGTTATCAAGATCTACAAAATGCATTTTTTAGATTTTCATTCCAGATTGCGAAGAAAAGTTAAAATACAATTTTTTGTTATTCCAAATAACAGCATAATTGAAAAAAGTATTTTAGTTATTGTTTAGTAAACCATCGCCTTTAACATTAAAAAAAGAATTCAAGTCATTTAATCCAGTTTTTAATTTGTATTGCGTTTTAGAAGAGTCCGAATACTTTTTGCCAGAGTTTGTAATTTTCTGATGCACAACGATTCCGATACTGATTCCACTAATATCAGTGCTGCACTCTTTTAGAAACCTCTCTTCTGAATTAGCGCGTAGTTTCTTCTTCTAATACTAACGAACGGAATAAAATAAAGACAACCTCGGCACGACGTGAATTCCTGCAATACGGTTTCGCTTTAGAACGGTTAAAGAATTAAGGAAAGTGCAGATGTAACGGGCTATTCTTTCCGAAGGAAATAGAAAATTCTGAAGGCAGCTTCGGAAATACGTTGCATCGTGTTATATTTACAATGGTCTCTCGTGAAACAGCGAACAAGGAAAAATAACAGCTGCGAAGGAAGGTGCTGTTTTATACAGTAGCGAGGTTTTGAAAATTTTACTGTCTGTTTTAGGGTAGAAGATGCGATCACGTTCGCGTAATTTTCATTTAGAAAGCGTGAAAAGAGCTTCAAAATGTTATTCTGTTACACGAAGATTATTTGTTGGATTATTTATAATTTGATTATCATTTTGTTCGGTTTCTAGATGCGTTGGTTCTTCCGCCATTCCTTAATGAAACATCTGAAACTTTAAATTAATTGTCTGAAATTTGATATTCAAATAACAATTTCTAAACTGTGAATCGAAATCATGGCTCGCAGGCGATAAGCCAGATTTCGAATCGAAGGAGTGGGGGAAGAATGAATATCGTTGTGATAGTTTAGACAACGAGATATTCAGCAGAATCAATAAGATTTATTTTAATGGAGTACGATTCAAACTTCGATTCAAATTTTCCACAATTAAATGAAATGCTTATAAATGATAAACATCATTTTTATGATCGTGTGTTTGGAATTTGAAAATTTACCATTTAAAAACAAAAACTACAATATCAAAAACATAACAAGTTTCCCTTAATATTTAGGCGACAAGATACATATTTAAGTCACAACATTTTTCATATTACTCAGTGATTCATATGTTCACTCGATTGCTATACTACTCAGGTTTTCGATGGTCTGCATGAGTTTGAATATAAGAATATGGATAATATTATTATATAGTTACTTAACGAAACAAAGTGAGAAAGATTTCCATAGCACTCGCATTGATTCATGTGTTGAATTACCAACTACATTACGAAACTGTTCAGGTTCTTAATGGTTTGCATGAGTTTGTATGTAAGATTATGTGTGGATAATGCTTGATATTACGAAGTAAGAAAAGTTTCCATACTACTCGTAATGTTTGATGCCTTAATTCAATTACGTCAATTCTCAGGTTTCGGATGGTTTGCATGAGTTTGATTGTAAGTATATGGACAATATAACTGCAGAATTATCCAATGAGATCAAGTGAGAACATTGTCCACGCTATCCGTAATATATCATGAGCTGAATTACCAAAATAAATTATGATATTCTTCATGTTTCCGATGGTTTGCATGAGTTTGAATTTAAGAATATGGGTAATGCTATTGTATCGTTACCCAATGAAACAAAGTGAGAAAATTTTCCATACTACTCAGCGATTTATGCGTTAACTGAATTACAAAACTACTCAGATTTTCGATGGTTTGTATGAGTTTGAATGTAAGAATATGTCTAATGTCTGTCTCTTATACACATCTAGATGTGTATAAGAGACAGACATTAGACATATTCTTACATTCAAACTCATACCTGTCTCTTATACACATCTAGATGTGTATAAGAGACAGACATTAGACATATTCTTACATTCAAACTCATACCTGTCTCTTATACACATCTAGATGTGTATAAGAGACAGACATTAGACATATTCTTACATTCAAACTCATACCTGTCTCTTATACACATCTAGATGTGTATAAGAGACAGACATTAGACATATTCTTACATTCAAACTCATACCTGTCTCTTATACACATCTAGATGTGTATAAGAGACAGACATTAGACATATTCTTACATTCAAACTCATACCTGTCTCTTATACACATCTAGATGTGTATAAGAGACAGACATTAGACATATTCTTACATTCAAACTCATACCTGTCTCTTATACACATCTAGATGTGTATAAGAGACAGACATTAGACATATTCTTACATTCAAACTCATACCTGTCTCTTATACACATCTAGATGTGTATAAGAGACAGACATTAGACATATTCTTACATTCAAACTCATACCTGTCTCTTATACACATCTAGATGTGTATAAGAGACAGACATTAGACATATTCTTACATTCAAACTCATACCTGTCTCTTATACACATCTGTTTGTATGAGTTTGAATGTACGAATATGTCTAATGTTATTGTGTCGTTTCCCAATAAAACAGAGTGAGAAAAATTTCCATACTACTCAGTGATATTCATGCGTTAACTGAATTAAAAAACTACTCAAATTTTCGATGGTTTGTATGAGTTTGAATGTAAGAATATGTCTAATGTTACTGTGTCGTTACCCAATAAAACCTGTCTCTTATACACATCTAGATGTGTATAAGAGACAGAATATACACATACCGACGAAAGTTAAGAAACATGTTACACCTGTCTCTTATACACATCTAGATGTGTATAAGAGACAGAATATACACATACCGACGAAAGTTAAGAAACATGTTACACCTGTCTCTTATACACATCTAGATGTGTATAAGAGACAGAATATACACATACCGACGAAAGTTAAGAAACATGTTACACCTGTCTCTTATACACATCTAGATGTGTATAAGAGACAGAATATACACATACCGACGAAAGTTAAGAAACATGTTACACCTGTCTCTTATACACATCTAGATGTGTATAAGAGACAGAATATACACATACCGACGAAAGTTAAGAAACATGTTACACCTGTCTCTTATACACATCTAGATGTGTATAAGAGACAGGTTTGTATGAGTTTGAATGTACGAATATGTCTAATGTTATTGTGTCGTTACCCAATAAAACAGAGTGAGAAAATTTTCCATAATACTCAGTGATTCATGCGTTGATTGAATTATAAAACTACACAGATTTTCGATGGTTTGTATGAGTTTGCATGTAAGAATATGTCTAATGTTATTGTGTCGTTACCCAATAAAACAGAGTGAGAAAATTTTTCATAATACTCAGCGATTCATGCGTTGATTGAATTACAAAACTACTCAGATTTTCGATGGTTTGTATGAGTTTGAATGTAAGAATATGTCTAATATAACTATCGTTACCCAATAAAACAGAGTGAGAAAATTTTCCACAATACTCGACGATTCATGTGTTAATTGAATCACAAAACTACTCAGGTTTTCGATGGTTTGTATGGGTTTGAATGTAAGAATATGTCTAATATAACTATCGTTACCCAATAAAACAGAGTGAGAAAATTTTCCACAATACTCGACGATTCATGTGTTAATTGAATCACAAAACTACTCAGGTTTTCGATGGTTTGTATGGGTTTGAATGTAAGAATATGTCTAATGTTATTGTATGGTTACCCAATAAAACAGAGTGAGAAAATTTTCCACAATACTCGGCGATTCATGCGTTAATTGAATCACAAAACTACTGAGGTTTTCGATGGTTTGCATGGGTTTGAAAAAAGAAATGTGGGTAACGTGATTCTATAGTTACCTTGGCGTTAGCGGTTGAATGGTCATCGCGGGCGCAAGACGTATCCTAGGACTCGATGAACGTGATTCCATTGTTTCCTCAACATCGAGCGCCTCGGTGTCCATCGAGGATCGCTGTTGATGTTGGAGAAGCAGGAGGTGTCTCCTCCTCGAGGACGGTGTCAGAAGGGCCAACGAATCAGCCTGGAGGACCGTCGCCTGAGACTCGTTCCAAATTCCATCGCTATGGTCCCTCGTGATGTCGTTTGCTAACGAATCGCTTGACGCGAATGGTGATGTGATCATACCGGAGAGTGCGGATCCCGGACTGAAAACCATCGGACATAGTGCGTCTGCTCGTTGCAGTAGCCTCAATGGCGACTCGAAATCCAGTACAGGATCTTGTAAGATTCTCCTCGGTACTGGAACATCGTCAATGACACACATGTTTGACCTTCGTTTAACGACAAAAGTTAAGAAACTTTACATATCGTCAACATTTGAGTATAATTGTATATTTTGATAATAAACGTCTTATTAAATGAAAAGTACGTATTTTTGTAAAAGTACATGTAACACATTGTTTATACTGCATTGTTTTATTTGCTGCATACGACAAGTAAAAAAATAACAAAACCTTTTGAAAATGAAAAAAATATATAAGAATACAATATTAAAATAAAATAAATATACAAAATTAAATAAAATTAATATTTTCGTTGAGACGCAACACGAAATTTTATTAAATGTTGAGAAGGTTTACTGCACACAAGAATATGGATCTGTGTAACATGTTTCTTAACTTTTGTCGGTATGTGTATATTCGGTCAGTCTTTTAAAGTATTTAAACCGGGGCATGAAACGGTTCCGGAAATAACTGTTTAGAACTGATCTATAAAGGTTCTGATTCAATTATAGAAAACTTGATTATCCTGGTGAACTACTCCGAAAAACTAAAGTTTCCAACTAGATATTGAGTGTTCCGGTTACAATTTCTAATTTGATTCCTGTATCGATTTTACGTTGTATATTGGTTCCGAAATTGTTTTAGAAACGACTGTTGTTTACTTCATGCAATAAAGTTTAATTTAAGCTTACAGTACTGGTCGATGCTTCTAGGATCAATGACAGTATTAAAGCTAGATGTAATTTGTGTAGGTGCCATTATGGACCATTGGATATGCCAGACCTGGGCAGATTTTATTTCAAATGAAAATGTAAATAACTACTTGAAATTATTCATCAAGGACTGTCTCATTTTCGATTTTCTTATCAAATAAAGAATCAAACATTCATTGGAGAAACTAGTTAATAATATGAAAAACGAAATAGTATGGAAAATAAAGGCGTCATACTAGTTATTAACCTGTGAATATAGCGTTTTGAAATAAATTTAAGGAACTGTTCTTACACTACATTTCTGTGCAATAAATTGTAATATTTTAGTTCTGTCAACGACGAACAATACTTCTGTTTTCTATATGCTAATTTTCTGCTTTCCGTTATGCCTGAATTATATTGTAGCATTCCTTCTGTTGTATTAGCAAAATTATTTGCATTTCTATGAAAAATAGTAGTGTTCGTATAGAAATTTCGTACATTGTATCTTCCCAGTAAACAAAATCCTAAAAACCGCTAAAAGGTCGGGTTATGAGCTAGGATAATCCCTTGATCGAAACTGAGCATATAAATCGAACACTCTTGCGACGAATAAATTCTTCGAATTGCTGTCCAGCAAAACTCAGCTCGTCGAGCATCGAAATAACGATTCTGGATCGGCGTTCGAACAAATGGTTCGACATAAAAATAATAGAAATTCAATTCTGTCGTGAAAGTGCAATTAACACGACAGCGTGGCGGCGGAGACGCGAAACGGAACCGGCAACAAAACAAACGGTGCTTAAACGATAAAAAAAAGAAACGGTCGCATTAGACACGCGAGAAAAGGAACGAGACAGAAGATAAATCAGCGTCGTTCTTTTTTGGCCCGTTGAAATTGCCGCGTTGCGATCGTAAAAAGTAGAGTCCCCGCGTAAAACGAGGACCGCCCTGCCACGCCTCGCCGCAAACTTGCGAGCCCCGGCTGCGGAAGTTTCAAGAAATTTTACTAGCCGGAAAAATATCGCGCGCCGGCATGTTGTAAATCGTATTTCATACTTGAGACTGCAGTCGGCGACGTGGGAGATATAGGAAGTGATCTCGGTAGCATAAAGTCGTCCGACGTTAAACCTTGCACGCCATCCTCCAGCGATACGCTCCTCTTACGGAAAAGTCCTCTCCGGATGAGATTCTCGTGAAACTCCTGCAACCATATCGAAGAATAACGTCGTTACGACACTTGTCAGTCGACATTCGCAGACGGTTTACGCGTTCCGTTACGCGTTACTTGTTACACGGTACATGGTTACATGCTGTGTGACACACGCGTCGCACAATGGGATCCCGAAAACCTGGCAGAAACACGACATTCGAAAATTCAATAGTTCACGATCATCCGTCGGCAAGTTACAGTTAAGAATGCGCTTTTGTGGGATCAGCAGAAAATAATGATGTTGAAAGAATAATTTCGGTGTGTCATTTCAGTTCAAAATTTATTATTACTAGACTGCGGATGTTTATGCAAAATAAAAATTGTCTCCATCAATTGCAAGACATAGGAGCCATGCACAAGTGTTCTTCTTTCCTGAATAATTTTAACAGATTGAAATTATTACATCAACGATTTGAGTTCAAAATTTATTATTACTAGACTGCGGATGTTTATGCAAAATAAAAATTGTCTCCATCAATTGCAAGACATAGGAGCCATGCACAAGTGTTCTTCTTTCCTGAATAATTTTAACAGATTGAAATTATTACATCAACGATTTGAGTTCAAAATTTATTATTACTAGACTGCGGATGTTTATGCAAAATAAAAATTGTCTCCATCAATTGCAAGACATAGGAGCCATGCACAAGTGTTCTTCTTTCCTGAATAATTTTAACAGATTGAAATTATTACATCAACGATTTGAGTTCAAAATTTATTATTACTAGACTGCGGATGTTTATGCAAAATAAAAATTGTCTCCATCAATTGCAAGACATAGGAGCCATGCACAAGTGTTCTTCTTTCCTGAATAATTTTAACAGATTGAAATTATTACATCAACGATTTGAGTTCAAAATTTATTATTACTAGACTGCGGATGTTTATGCAAAGTAAAAATTGTCTGCATCAATTGCAAGACATAGGAGTCATGCACAAGTGTTTTTCTTTCCTGAATAATTTTAACAGATTGAAATTATTACATCAACGTTCTTAGTTTCTTTTGATCTCTCCGCTGTTTAAAATTATCCCTGATCGTCTTTGCCATAAATGCTTAAAATTCGCAATCTAGTCATCACTATCGAATTTTGTTATAGAGTGAAAAATAGATGTTTCTACCAAATTAGTATGGCTCGTTGATTACATGTCGTGGTATTCGGAAAATGTAGTACACACCGCGACAAAATAATAAGACACTCGTGAACATTGCGAAAAATTCGATGTAAATTAGACATTTATTTTTCTTTCATTGATAGTATTATTACTTATACTCTAAAAAAGCATGTCGCTCAGTTAAATGAAATAGATAAGTCTGCGGTCTCGAAAAGTGAGGCAAAAAATTTAAACATGTTACTCGATCCGCGATGAAACTATAAGACAGAATTTTGTTTCCAATTGTTGTTAGGCGTGTAGTATTTATAGCGATATTGTGTGTGCAATAGTTTTTGATTATACAAAATGCCGCACGGAAAAAACTACATGCTACGGAGATCAATATAATTAATGATTTCAGTGCGAAAAATTGTCCATATATTAGGGAGAAGTCGCGTTGTCTAGTTCATAACTATCTAGAAAATAAAGAAAAATATGTTAAAAAGAATCCCGGTGGTCGTTCAAAATCAAGAACTGCGCGAGAAAGGTGACAAATTTTAAGACATGCATCGAATTCTACAATGACAGCATGGCAAATAGCAGCGGTATCTGATGTGGAAACGAATGTTAGGGCAGTGTAGAGAATAATAAAAGGTACTGAGCATGTGTGAAAAGGCTTAAAATGCAGAAGCAACCGCCACTAACTGATAAACATCAATAATCTAGATTGGAATTTCCAGAGCATCGTATACATTGGCGAAGAAAGTAATCTTTTTTGACAAAAAGTGCAAATTAGGTCTAAATTATTATATCTCTGATTTGAGGAAAGAAGAAATCGTGTAGCACAGGCAGCAAATGGGTGGCGATGGTATTATGATGTGGGTAGCTATAGGATACTATGGAAAAACGGATATTTTTGTTTCTACAGAAATGAATAGTAGAATGTACGTGTGTCTGTGTGTGGATATCGTTTATAGGCAACTATCGAAATATCCACAAAAAATAGCTAAGCAGAAGTATACCTTTCGACATGATAACGCAACTGTGTACACTGCAAGAATAACACGAGCTTACATCGAAGATAAAAATATAAATAGTTTAGCGTGGCCAGCAAGATCGCAGGATTTGAATATTATTGAAAACTGTTCGGGAATGCCAACTGAGGAAGTATACTCAAGGGGAAAGCAGTTTATCTCCATAGAAGAATTAAAAAGATTTATTGAGGATATAGGGAAGAATTTGAAACAAAACACAATTAAAAAAACTGTATAAATCTTTACCGTAAAATGGAAGGGTAGAAGTATAGATTATTACGAAGTAACAAAAAGAATTCTATGTGTTGATTTTTTACGATTTTTAAACAGCACTGGTCAACTTTTTATATGTTACTACAGAGGAGAACATATTCTCTGTATACGTTCATACACAAAAACTTTATACACGTCCGTGATTTTAAGAAATCAGGAGTGTCTTGTAGTTTTGTGGCAGTGTATATTTAGTTACAGTGAATATTTTTGGTTACCATGAGAAATAATACAAATTTTATATATTCCTCTGATTTTACTTATGTTATTTATCTTTAATACTGAAACGTTCTGTAGAGGGCGTCTGAATGACATTTTTAAGACCGTCGACATTTTTTTACTCATGAACATTTACCATTTGTAGTGCAACATTGTTGTTTGAGTCAAGACGAGAGTTTGATGACATATAATATGATGATCTTGACAGTTAAAAAATGAGTTGAAATTTAAAGAATACAGAACGGTACTCGGAACGGTACTTGTTATAAAATGAGATGAATTACACTGTTATTGTACTCTTTAAATTTCAACCTTTTTATTTAATTTTGCTATTATTTTGAATGACGTAAGGAATGAAAAACTCGCGTTTTTACATAAAGATCATAGGAATCGGAATTTTGTTACTATTTTTGACCCTCTTTTTGACCAAAAACAGTAAGAAATTTGCAGTCTTTTAAATCATTCAACGCTTGTAACTTGATTCTCCGTCAACCGATATCGATGAAATTTGTAGAAGCATGCAAGTTACCAGTATCTATCAAATGCATTTTTTAAATTTTCGCTGTAGACTTATATAAAAAAGTAAAAAGGCATGAGTTTTTTTATTTTCTTGTCATTCCAAGTAGTAGCAAAATTTAAAGAAAGCATTTTAGTCATTGTCTAGTCGCTCTATCATGTAACAAAAATTCAAGTCATTTGGTTCAGTTTTAAGATATTTATTGCGTCTTAAAAGTTGGACGAACACTTTTGTGAACCACTGTAATTTTTATACAACCTGTACACGCGGACTTATTATTATCAATATTATTTAAGCCTGATTTCTCGGTATGAAATCGATGGTTAGTTTTATTTGTTATGCAGATGCGTCCTAAGAATTAGATTAAAAAGGATATAAAAAGTGAAACAAAAGGAAATAAACAAATTTTAAAAGATTTGAGATTTTTAAAATTTTGCTTTTTTTTGCTAAATGTTACAGAACATTTGGAACACTAACTCCACGTTGTCAGCGGTTGCAGGGTTAATCGACAATGGTTATTTTACATGCGAAAATAAAAAAAAAACGTGGAAAAAATTTGTTGCTTGAGACCTCGTTATCGGGAGAAGTCGAGCATGAACTTTGAACGCGTTTGGTCGAGAGTTAGCCAAATGCGGGTGCACCTACTCAACAAATTTTCAAAGTAAAATGTTTTCAGAACGTAAATTCAGATGTAAAAAATTGATCCTACATTTTCGACTTATTTTCAGATGTAGGATAGCCTCTTGTTTGTACTATGTTTGTTCAGTCAGCAGTTCATTAAGCGCAGAAGTTAAACTGGACTTCGTGAACTCGATTTTTTCGGAAACGAAGTTTTGCACGGTAAAATCATAGCTGATCCATGCAGACAATCTAATTGTTGACGTGGTGAGAACTGAATCTTCACTAGTTACGGATCAGCTATATAAAAGTACATATATACAACCGTTTTAAAAAATAGAATCAATTTTTGAATTGTCTAAAAGTATCTAATTCTATTATTAGAAAATACCATTGATCTACTAGATCGTATATGTACTGATATTTTCCTATTATGTGCATCTTTGACGCTTCATATTCAGCCATTTTATTTATTAGATTCTGTAATATTTTTTGTTTGCGTCTGATTATGTTGTGACTTGATATATTTGTTTAACTCTGGATAATTAAACCTTCATCGAAATCACCATGAAACTTTCGAACCCTGCAATGTGTGTGTGTGTGTGTGTTAAATTGTTAATGTATGGAAGTTTTTAATTTTATTTATCTTGTTTCTTTATAAGATAGAATATTATTAAATTAAAAGGACTCAATTACGTTCATGTTTTTAATTAACGTTGATGTTACTCGACAATTGTTTTGCTGAGGTAAAAGTATCTATTAAGAAATTTATCTATAAGAAATCTATCTATTAAGAAATACCACCTCAATTGTGACTTGTCCTTGAAACAGTAGTATAAGTAATAAAATCAAGAATAGATAGAGCATGTGACTGGATGTAAAAATTCGACATATATGTTTGAATATTATTCTTTATAAATTCACTCACATAGATACCGTTATGTAACAATCAGCTGCAAAATAATGTTTATTTGAATACGGGTGTTTGAACGGTTGACATCCGTATTTCATATGCAGGGTAGTGAATCACACGCGTGATTCTCTAAATCGCATTTTTCATAGCGAAAGTGGACCAAAAATTGTCTTTGTCACGTTAGGGATAATATGTAAAACACAAATTTTCATCTCACACATGGATAAGAAAGAAAGAATCACAAATAATAAAACAGGAAAAGGCTTTAAGGAAAAACAGTTGCAGAAAGAAAGAAAAGAAGTTAGCTGAGGAAAAAAGACAGTTGTGG